CGGTTGTTAAGTGAATCGGGATTTTGCATTGACTTGGCTTGTCGGAAGGACGCAAACGGGGATCAGGTGACCTTGGGACACGGCAACGGTCATAAATAGGAACCAATGGCCTAGGGACTTAATTTTGATCATGTGACCAGGGGGGGGAATGATGCAAGGGTCGTTAAGTGTGAAAAATGGTCCTAAGTAGCTTTTTTTCCAGTGCCGTTGTAACTTTGGAACGGTCACCAAATGAACCGTTGTAAGTCGAGGACTACCTATAGACAGAATCTTGTCCAATTAAAGTTATGGCAGGAATAGCCAACACCCAAGAAGATAGGCTCAAGATCCCAATGGATCTTGACAGACTTGAACCCTGGGCCGTATTTAACAAAATGAAATTCAATGTAGAGAAAAGGAAAGTCCTACACTTAGGCAAGAAAAACCCAAAGGACACATACAGACTGGGTGAAACCAGGCTCAATAGCAGTAGCTGTGAGAGGGATCTTGGAGTCTTAGTGGACAACCAGCTAAAGAGGAGCCAGCCGTGTGCAGCAGCAGCCAAAACAGCCAATGCAATCCTAAATTGCATTAACAGAGAGATATAATCAAGATCAAGGGAGGGACTAATACCACTCTATAAAGCCTTAGTAAGACCACACCTGGAGTACTGCCTCCAGTTTTGGTCACCACATTATAAAAAAGACGTTGAGACTCTAGAAAAAGTACAGAGAAAAGTAACCAGGATGATTAAGGGACTGGAGACTAAAGCATATGAAGAATGGTTGCAGGAACTGGGCCTAGCTAGTCTAGTGAAGAGAAGGACCAGGGGAGACAGGATAGCAGTCTTCCAATATTTGAGGGGCTGCCACAGAGAGGAAGGGGGGTCAAGCTATTCTCCAAGGCACCCGAAGGCCAGACAAGGAATAATGGATGGAAACTGATCAAGGAGAGATTCAACCTGGAAATAAGGAAAAACTTTCTGACAGTGAGAACAATCAACCACTGGAACAGAAGTTGCCTTCGGAAGTTGTGGGAGAACCATCACTTGAGACCTTCAAGAAGAGATTGGACTGCCATTTGTCAGAAATGGTGTAGGGTCTCCCGCTTGGGCGGGGGGGTTTGGACTAGATGACCTCCAAGGTCCCTTCCAACTCTGATTATCTGTTATCTGTTATTCTAACCTAACAGATACAGGGTGTTATTCAAACTGCTGATTATCACCTTTAAGCCCTTGATGGCACAGAACCAGGCAATCTGAGGGATTAACTTTCCCTAAAATCTACCTGTCGTACCAGGTTAGAGAAGGTGGGCATAATACTAGTCCCATCCACCAAATATTGTACACACCTAATCAAGAAACTAGCAAGAAGGAAACCACACTCCTGCCAATACTGACAGGACAAGCCATAGTATGTAAACAGAGAGCAAACTCCACTCCACTCTAGCACTGATGAAGTTATCTAGTTAGGTCATGAGACGTCTGCTAGTTTATTGATCGAGCTGTTAGGGCAAGCTTTCAGGAAGGATGAAAGGATGGAGCCCTGCTGAACTTTATGTTGTGGCTCGCTGGCAGCAGGTATGGATGGCTGAGGTCTCTGACAAGTGAGGATTCGGACGAGGGGCCTGCGTGAGAAGCAAGGATGGGGCCAGGACTATCGGAGAGTGGGGTGCTTGCTGCCTTCGGAGGTTGTGGAGCCTGGCAGCAGTGATGAAGAGGACCCTGAGGAGCCTGTGCCCAGTGCATGTGTGAGCAGAGCTGCTTGAAGGAAAGAGCAGCCGAAGCAGCACGGGTGACCCGGGAGTAAGGCTGGAAGGTGATGGGATAAAAGCCAGCCTTCGGGGTTGGCTTCTTTGCAGGAAGCAAAGAAGCTCTTTCTACTCGTTGAGTTCTCGTTGAAGCCCTGCTTACTCCTGTTTGTTTTTTGAAACTTCTGGCTTGGGATATTCTTGGCAGCCTTTTGCAACCTTGAAAGAAGGGCTTGCTCTTATCTGGGACAATTAGTTTTGAACAACTCTTGGCTGTGAATGCACAGAGTTCACAGCACCACATTAAAAAGGTTTGCTTTTATACATACACTGTTTGATTTGAACAAGGCTTGGGTCAGAACACTTCATGGGGCAAGGAGTTCCATAGGGCAGGGACCGCCCCACACTTCCTACCTCCTGTAAGATGAGACTATTTGGAGCTGGGGAATTCTGGGAGTTGAAGTCCACAGGTCTTAAAGTTGCCAAGGTTGGACAGCCCTGATCTAAGGCAATGGAGAGGCCACATCCTCCTTCCCCCAATGATCTACAGACAGTCCTTGACTTACAACTTTTCATTTAGAGACCGTTCAACGTTAGAACGACACTAAAAAAATGACCTAATGTTCGTTTTTCATGCTTCTGACCACTGTAGCATCCCCATGGTCACATGATCAAGCTTCAGAGTCTTTGGCAATGGGCTCAGGTTCACTTAACAACTGTGTTACTAACTTAACAGCTGCTCCGCTGTTAAGAAATTCACTTAACAACTGTGGCAAGAAAGGGGAAGTAAAATGGGGCAAAACTCACTTAACAAATTGTCTCACTCAGCAGCAGAAATGTTGGGCTCGATTGTGGTCATAAAGGGAGGACTACCGTATATTGGGGACGTGTCATTCTACATCGCGGCTATCCATGTGAAGGACTGTTTACGTGGCAAAAACACACCTCCAGCCCCTGAACCACAATGTGGAGATGAGAGCATTTCCTACAAACATGCCTCTCTCTCTCTCTCTACTAGGAGTGGCTCCGCAACACAGTGGCTCCTCCACTTACAACCGCTCACTTAGTGATCGTTCAAAGTTAAAATGGCATGGAAAAAAGCCACTTACGACCTTTTTCAGTTATGGCCATTGCAGCATCCCTGAGGTCACGTGATTAAAATTCAGTGCTTGGGCCATTGGTTCATACTGTTTTGACCTAGGCTTCCCGAGATCATGAAGAATGGAATAGAATAGAATTCTTTATTGGCCAAGTGTGATTGGACACACAAGGAATTTGTCTTGGTGTAAATGCTCTCAGTATACATAAAAGAAAAGGTACATTTGTTAAGAATCAAGAATCGTAACTCCTTGTCCCAACAAAACCCCTTTTATTTAGACTAAAGTGAATTCCTCTCCAGCAAAGTCCCGGCCAACAGTCTTTCATGAGATTTCACAACTGCAGACCTTTATCAGGCTTGGAGAGTTGCCAGACCAATATCTTCCAAACACCACGCTGTAGCAGCAATTACTTGGCAAGAAGTCAGAAACAGATCTTCACTCTAATGAGTTGAACTAATTGTCTCCTGTAAACACCACTCCCCTTTTGCTCCTCTTTTATTCCTTCTGGAAGGGGCCATTCACTGTCCACCTGTGGCTTTACTCCCGAGTCAACCCTTGTTCCTTAGTGTTTCCTTCTCCTGACAGCTCTGTGCATGAGCACACTGGGAACAGGCTCCAGCTGTTCTTCTTCCCCACTGATCTCCGACTCTGAAGGCAGCTGATAACTGGCCCCATCTCTGCCTCCAACGCAGAGCCCTCGTCAGAGCCTCCCCCAGACTCCAGGACGGGCCCAGGTTCCTCCCCAACCTCCTCACTGTCTGAGTCTGTCGCCAGTTCTGCTGGCGGCCACAACACATATTTATGACGGGTGCGATGTCTCCCGAGTCATGTGATCCCCTTTTGCCAACTTCTGACAAGCCAAGTCAACAGGGAAGCCTGGTTCGCTTAATGACCATGTTGCTAATTTAACAACTGCAGTGATTTGATGAACAAACGTAGCCAGAAAAGTCGTAAAATCGAGCAAAACTCACTTAACAAATTTCTCACTTAGCAACATAAATTCAATCGTAGTCGAGGACTATCTGTGGTAAACCCGGTGTGGATGAAGAGATAGAACCACCCTTTTATGAGAGCCTCTTAACATTTCCATTCAAAGACACGATTTCTTTCCATTTCCCAGGCTTCTGGTCCCTCCGATTCCAGTTCAAATCCAGGCATCTCTTTGTTTCCTCTTTTGGTACCTTACAAATCCAGAGTTGTTTTCAGGGAAAACTGACAAATGCTTAGCCGTGACACACCTACCTGCTCACATATATATATAGTGCAAGACATCTCTGTGTAAAGCCATGCAACCAATTATTAGGTGAGAAATGCTTTGTCAGAGAGCAAAAGAAAGGGTTGCCTAGCAATAAGGATGCAGTATTGTTAGAGCAGTGAACGTACAATATTTAGCATTTTCCAAAGTGCCCAATTTTGTACCAGAAAGATCTCAGTGTCTTATTTGCATTATTTTGCAGAATTATCCCAAAAATAAACCCACCAGCATGGTTTCTTCTCACTTGTATCCAGAAAAATATATATATTTTTCCCCCTCCTTTTTATGGTTTACTAGTGTTAATCGCTCTCTTAGTAAGCATACATCGGTTCTTGGAACCTGGATGGTATATAACTTAAATCTGTACATTGCCACTGGGCTTGAGATATACAAGTAGTCCTCGACTTACAACGGTTCGCTGAAAGTTACAACAGCTTTGAATTATTTTTTTTTAACTTAAGATTGTTTTTCACACTTACAACCACTGCAGCATCGCTGTGGTTACGTGATGAAAATTCAGACGTTTGGCACCTGACTCGTATTTATGACGGTTGCAGGGTCCTGGGAACAGCCTTTTGTAACTTTCTGACAAAGCAAAGTCAATGAGAAAGCCAGATTCACTTAACCACTATGGCAAGAAAATGGGGGCAAAACTCACTTAATAACTATTTCATGGAGCAACAGAAATTTGGGTCTCAATTGTGGTGGTAAGCTGAGGACTATCTGTATTTCCTGCAAACCATTTTCCCTTTTGCATATGTGAGAGCATCAAGAAAGCTTAATTCCACTTGCCCCCTCTTGAGACAATGCTGGCCAAACCCTGGTCTGTTGTGCATTTTGGGACGCCATATTATCTCCTCCCCGGAGATCAAAAGAGCAAATAAAGAAGGGATCACACTGGTCAGAAGACAATGCGTTAAAAAAACAACAACATTTATTGCTGGGTTGGCAAGGCCCAACTTTTCACAGCCAGACAAGGGAACAGGTGGCCCCTGCTGTGCCCATCACTGGCCACCAGCACAACCACAGACACACAAAAAGAGTCCAGCTTTGGCCCAGAACACTTCAACAGGTCGCCACAGTCTCGTCTTTTGGGAAGGTTTCTGGCCCAGCCTGCCAGAAACAACAACATCCCTACGGGAGAGCTGTGCAGCAGCAAAGGCCGGGATTCCCCCATCAAGCCCCCAGGATCTTGTTGATTTTCAACCGGATTTTTCTCCAGTCGGCCGCCATAATGTCCGAGTACTGCCTGTACAAGAGGTGCCGCAAGCGGAACACCAGGTTGTGGGGCAGGGCGCGCTTCCCTCTGCCCCCGTAATAGCTAACGGCGCTTCGCCACCTCCGCAGCTCATCTGGGGGGACCATCCGTCGGAACAGGGCCGCCGCGTACCTCGCCGGCTTGCCGCAAACGCGCTTGAATAACTCTCGCCTCTCCCTTTTAGGGATCCTCCACAGGGTGATATCGTCCAAGCGTAGGACAGCCTGCAACAGGGGAAGGTGGATTACTTAACGCTAACATGTGACACAAGAGCTTTCCCCGTAGCTGAGCCACAGGGCGGGAGACCCCTGCCCCCGATAACTGGCCGGCCCAACGCGCCACATGGGAGTCTAGAACGGTAGTTGCTCAGCCTCAGCGAAGTTGACAAAAGTGGGGTCCTTGTTGCTCTCCAGAACTTGGGGGGGGTTTCTTGCAGGGGTTTCATGAGACTACAAAGTTCAGGTAGTGTCAGGGTTCCAAGTGATACAACCATAGCAAATAGAATTCCGAGGCAGTGATATTCCTCAAAGGACTGTTTTATTGGATATATCATATTGGCACAGACTGGTGAAAACCGACTAGCAATTCCCGCGGTTTTCACCTACTTAAAAGTTTTCCCCCTTCCCCAAATGATCAGTCACATGGTCCAACCATTATGTCTTCCAGTTGCCTGGTAATTTCACTCCTCCTCTCTCTGACCACCTGTGGGAATGTCCTGGGTTCCCAGGAGAAAGTATTTTGTTTGGGCTACAAGCCCCATCTATCTCTATTCCCCACCTCCCTAGCCCCTCAGCTCCAGTGTGGCAACCCTGAAGCCCAGAAAATGGACTCGGTCAGGCCAGCTTCAGGGGTTGACAGGTAGCCCTGTTGTCATCTTTGGAAGCCATATTGAGATCAGATGCTCCCACGATTTCACATTTGGAGCCTGGGAAAGTGGGACGGGGGAATTTATTGGAGTATATCTAATTAGACATAACATTCTTTTTTTCTGATTCAAGGTCAGGTTCTGTTGCACCTAAGTGAGAGGAAGTCTTAACTTGGGACGGATGGTGATTGGGCCATGTGATGCGATGATGGGTGCAGGGGGATGGATTTTGTAGTTTTTACTTATTGTAAGGAAGCCTGGAACTTTCAGATTCAGGATTCCTCAGTTGTGCCAGTTTACTATCCAAATAAAAAGGAACCTTTGAGAAGATGTCTGTCTCGGAGTTATTGGGCGGAATGGAGGTTGGCTGGAACGCTGACACCTGTACTTATTTGTTAATTTATCAAATTTATTTGTTGATAAAATGTATTGATTGCCCATCTTACCATAGGATAATTCTGGGCGGCGTACAGTTACAACTAAGTTAACGTATCAAAAGTTAAAATCAAACCTTCAAACCAGAGAATTGGACCATTTGAAGTTACAACAGCACTGAAAGTTATGACCGTTTTTCACACTTGCAACCACTGCAGCGTCCCTGTGGTCACGTGATCAAAATTCAGATGCTTGGCAACTGACTTGTATCTATGAGGGTTGCAGTGTCCCAGAGTCTTCCCCTTTTGCGATCTTCTGACTAGCAAAGTCAATGGGCAAGCCAGATTCACTTAACAACTGTGTCATTAACTTTACAAGTGCAGTGATTCACTTGAACAACTGTGGCAAGAAAAGGTCGTAAAATGGGGCAAAAACTCACTGAACAACTGTCTCGCTTAGCAATGGAAATTTTGAGCTCCATTGTGGTCGTTAATTGAAAATTAGTTGTAATATCATCAGTAGATGTGACTAGGGAACATAGCCAGTGCTAGTACCACACTGATGATGCAACCAACTTTGGTCATGAAATGTCTGGAAGAAAACCACCAAGCTCAGAGAGCATCAAGGACCCCTCAGAGTTCAACCATGAGCTATAAATATTCTTTTCTAAAGTTAAGAATGTTTGAAGTCCATAAATTAACAGAATTCCTCAGCCAGCATGCTGAAATGTCCACGGGAATGTTGCCAAGGGTGAACAGCACCAGTCTAGATGGACCTTACTAGGGCTAAGAAGACAGTGGGCAGCTGGCGACAGAAAGAAACACAAGACATACAAAAACAAATTTTGGAAGGCAGAGGGTTGGGTTATAAAGACTTGTCTGGGTTTCTTGTTTTGGTGTCTCTTGTTCCAGTGACCTTCGGAACTACTCTCCTCTTGGGCAAGCCAAGTTCTTTGCTATCATAGGTCATCTGGCTATTATGCCTGAAGACTTAAGATTGACTGGTAGTTTTATTCTAACGTTGTGGCTATTAAACTCTGACACAAGTAATACTCTTTCCAAAGTTTTGCATGTTTGATCGCTCTGTCCAATGCTTGGCCTAAAGAAACTGTGGGAAAGAGGTCAGGTGTCTT